GTAAACTGTGTGTTTGCATCTTGTTGTCAACAAGTAGGAGGCCTGAAGTCACAATTGTCACTGATGAGGACAACTTCAGCCCAATCATTTCATATCATAAAAAAATGACATTTTCATCATTGACAAGCGCATAATGTCTCAAGTCTTTGTGTCACCACCTTGCTTTTTATCAATTCCTCCTCCTCCTCCTGTTCCTTCCCCACCTCCATCCCTCCATCCTTCACTCTCGCTCTGATTCCGGCTCTGCAGTGACAACCCCAAGCCCATCTCATGCATCAGCTGTCAGGCTAGGATTCGTCACTAGCGGAGGGGGGCTGAAAGAGTGAGATATCTCACCGCCTGAACATCTTGACTTGGAATTTATGCTGATGATGACTCCCATTGCCCTCCAGCGATCCTTCTGTTGCCTCTTCGCTGGAGCGTACAGTCCTCCGACATCGGCGTGATTACGATCTTGCTGTGGTCTACTGTCTCTCTCTGTTCCTCTTTCACTCTCTCACTGTCCCTGCCTTTGTTCAAAAGACTTCTGGGTCACAGTTATCTCAGAGAGAGATTTTGCAAACTTTCAGTCTGCCTTTGTTTCTGCCATTCAGCAAAGTTCACTGTCACAACAGGGCAAAAGATTAAAGCAACGGATTAATTGCTTTAATCTCAGCAATAATGATTGTTCTGGCCTCGTTTCAAAGGAAAAATGCAATTGAGGATCTCTGTTGTACAAACCTTTATTTACAGTTACCCCTTCATCCTACACTGCTCAGAGACGAAGGAAGTACATCAACTGATCTGACTTTCAGATTTTTCAAGTTTTAATAAGGGCTGTGAAAGAGTTAATTGTATTTATTTATTGCAATAATTGACATTAACATTTTAATCACATGAATTTCAAAATTTTTGAAGTCCATATAACAAGGTAAGGCAAGTCCTACTAGTTTGCAGCAACACATAGTCAAAACCACTGTCACGGACTGATGTTGCAATCGACGTCTGGAAACTGTGTGCAGTGCACAGCGTGTGTTTGTGTGGCAGGAGTCTTGCTGCTGCTGTCATATTCTGTGCACCGTCTGTGCCAGTTATTATCACCTTCCTTGCAATGCCCCATTAATTTGCAACTTTGGGGAGGTGCTAGGCATGTTCCTGCATAGCGTCGTTCTTCTGTATATCCAACAGTTAAGGCAAAGGATTGCAATGCCTAATCAGTGTCAGTATGGATCGCAATTACGCAGAGATTACATTTTGATTACTCACTGACGTTCAGTGATCCCATTTAATATGACAGCATTAGCACTTTTTCAGGAGTTCCCGTTCAGTTGCTCTCTCTGATTCATACAGGTCCTGTATGCATGAAACTATTGTTCCCTGCAATGGTAAGGCATATGACTGGTCACAACCTGCCAACCTGAGGACGTCCCCTAGACCCCAGTCTTTCACAATGTTAACTGGTCTGCAGTCAGTTGTCACCCATTCAGCAAATGCTGTAGTTAACTTCTTCAGTTAGTCTTCATCCAGAGGTCTGTGGTGATTCATTCACTCCAAAAAAGTGCTTTGCCATCTTTGGTGATGTGGTTACCTGATGACATCAGTCTGATTAGCTATACCTGTATGCTCATCTCATAGGTGGTAGCTCAAACTGGAAGCACTATGGTGATATTTTAATTCTGTTTGACACAAGGTGCATATTACTTTTGACTTGTAAACTTAAAGTGAAAGGAGCAATTCAAAAGAGCAGTGGTGTCCTTTTTATCCATCACTGCAGCAGCAGGAAGCTGCTGCAGCAGCTTGACTAAAATTAAGGGTGCATCAAAGGGATAAAATAGCAGCATGTAATTAACATGATTTTTTTTTAAAGTGTCATGTTTGGACCTTAATCACATAAGGTCACATAAGGAAAAATGAACACAGTTTTCTGTGTAACTTTAGCATGGGGAATTGACTGGCGTGGTCATTTTCATGATACATTAACACCAGGTTCAATGAGTTAATCACATAAGAATTAACTCATTGAACCTGACAGCCCTGGTGTTAATGTATCATGAAAATGACCCCACCAGTCAATTCCCCATGCTAAAGTTACACAGAAAACTGTGTTCATTTGTCTCTGTATGGTGTTTCATTATAATGCCCATTTTGAATTTTGGTTGGAAGTCCAAGATGGAAACATCAAAATTCTTTTACCAGGCACCTAAAAGATTACAACAAAACTAAATTAGAAAAATGGATCAGAGGGATGCATGGCACTAATAAATGTGCAGCCAGCAGTCAGGTAGCTTAGCTTAACATGACTGGAAAAAGAAGGGAACAGCTAGCCTGAGTCTGTCCAAATCACCAACCAACACTTCTAAATCTCACTGTAACTTGTTCTTTAATCTGTACAAAACCCGGAGTGTAAGCCTATCTGTTTACCCATGTTTTCAGGTTTTCAAGCTAAGTTAACCGGCTGCTAACACTAGTTTTATTTTTACTGTATCTGCGTATTTCACAAAATACCAAGCTATTCCCTTTAAGGGATATTTTGCCAATTTTCAACCAGCTTTGCATCATAACAGTGTGGTTAGTATGTGTACATGAACTGTGGTAAACTTCCTTTCATCTTACCAGTGCTCAGATCTCCCTGCTCATCGCCCAACTCAAATCCACCCAATGGCACAAAATGCCTATGGAAGCGAATTGAGAGAGCTGCGCCCCTTCTCTCCCTCTCTCTCTCTTTCTCTCAAACTCAGATCAAATGATAAAACTAAGCCGTGCTGATCAGAGAAAAAACCCTGATTTAGTTGCTGTATTGTAGGGATGGGGGAAAAATAGATACAGCATAGTATCGCAATATTTTGCTTTGCAATATTGTATTGATACACAAATGGCAAGTATCGTTTTTTTATAATATAAATTATTTACACTAGTCCATACCCATTGGTAGCTTTGTCACCTTCTACCTATGCCAATCCTCAATGCCTATGTGCAGTTTCACATAGATTGACCACATCAGTGAGAAGAAAAACGTGGGACAGACAGAATGACTGACTGACAGAATGACACACTGACAGTTTCCGTGATTATGTACAGCATACCATACCATGTCTTAGTCATACCAAAAATTAGAAAAAAAAACAAACAAACATTCGGCCACAGGGGGAGCCACAGCGATTGGTTGCATTTTAGCCATTTTTAAGCATTTTTATATTGTTATAGCGCCACCCAGTTGCCAAATAGAGTTAAATTTCTCCAGTCACCTTGAGGCGTCCTGTTCTACATATCTACCAAGTTCAGTAAAAATCGATATGGCGGTTAGGCCTAGATAAGAAATTAGCTCTCTAGCGCCCCCATTGTGTTTGATCAGGTCAATAATGGAGGGGTACCCTCAGATTATGTGTGGTCATATGCCTACAAAGTTGCGTGGTGATGGGTGAAACCCTTGAGATGTTATACACCTATATGTGATGAGCCACGCCCTCCGCAATATTCATTGCCTTATAGAAGCTCAGTTTTAGTAAGTTTTCCAACTTTTGCCAAGAGGGAACTTTAGATATTGGTCTCTAGATTATGTTCACCGGGTTTCATGCAGATCGGTCAAACTTTCTAGGAAGAGATCCATTTTAAGTGTTTTTCACAAAATTCAAAATGGCAGAAAATCTATATAACCGGAAGTATGGGTTCTTGAGGCAAATGTGTTCCTCATGAGGAGAGGCATCTCTGTGCAAAGTTTCATGTCTCTACGACATACGGGGCATGAGATATTTCAATCGGTTGCTATAGCGACCGCCTTTGGCCAATTGATGTAATATTGCTTCATTCGCATCCTCCCATGACCCTCTACCACTGTGCCAAATTTCACATGGATTGACCAAGTCAGTGAGGAGAAAAACGTGGAACAGACACACAGACACACACAGACAGAGTTTTCATCATTATATAGTAAGATTGCAAATACGAGTTATACTATTGGTTGCTGACTAAAATAATAAATAGATTTTTCAGTCCACAAGATCTAGTTACCACAATAAAATGATTGAAGTGAGATAAACAGACTAAAATTGTGATCTTATTAGATTAGAACAAATGTTGAGAATGTTTTTCCTAAATTTGCTGTTGAAAAGAGTAATGTATTGCAATAAATGTTATTGCAATACTCAGCATATCGCTGATAACGTTGTATCAAAGAACATCTGGTCATTTCTCACTTCATATGTTTTCAGAAACATATTTTAGCTTACCTTCTAACTAGAACTTAAGATTGTTTGGCACCAGCCAGCCACCATAATGTTTTCAGACGGGCAACTTGTATTACATCACCCCCTACCATGAGCCTTTCTTGGCCCAGTGCAGCAGCACAGTGTATTCTGGTTGTAGGTGTAGGTTCAGGTTTCTAGTCATGTGTAAAGAATTTCAATGAAATTCTTGTGCTCAGTGGCACTCCCAGCCCACACAAAGGGCACCCTTCCCCTTCTCCCATTAACAAAAAATGAAAAAAAATTATATAGTGTATGCAATCTACAGGCAACAATGTGCAGTGCATATGAATGCATAAACTGTTCAGCAACCTAACTGCCTGAGGAAAGAAGCTATTACTGAGACAGGTGGTGTGTGATTTGATGCTCCAGTGATGTTTTTTCGATGGAAGGAGTGAGAACAGAGCATGAGCGGGATGGCAGGTGTCCTTAATGATGTTTTGGACTTTACTTTTGCAATGTGTGGTGTAAATGTCATGAAGCTGTGGGAAGTGTTTTCTACCTCTTGAGCAAAAGCGAATGCCACAGCCCTTTTTCTCTGGTCATGTAGGACCAATTTCAAAAGTATCTGTGTCTTTCTACTGCATGGACAGCCAAGTTTTATGGAAAAAATATATATATGTATATATATATATATATATATATATATATCTCCAGCAGTGAAATAGTTCTTAAAGTTAAAGCTGTTTCCTGAGGTTGGACACAACCTTTAGAGTGTACAGGGGCCCAATGAATTTCTGTACTTTTAATCCCTTGCTCTCTTTTTTCTCACTTCCTCAGCATCTTGCAGCCAGACATGGGGAAAAAGTCCAAGTACAAGACATCAGTGAAGAAAAAGACTCTCAACCCCGAATTCAATGAGGTACAACTTGTCTCCCGCTCTGCAAATAACCACAGTACACCTGGCAGCATCTTGCTGTACTGAGCTCAAGATGTTCTGTGGTGTGTCTGAGGTTTGGATGAGCATTGCAATTAAGTATACTGTTTTAGACTTACTTCAAATCTGACATGCCTTCCTTGAATGTTTTCTCACCATCAATCTGCATGTTTCTACTGAAAATGAATTAAATTACTAATTCATTTCCTTTCAACTCTCGTGTTAATGACTCACTGATATAAATATGCTCTTGTGTGCACCACCTGCATAGGAGTTTTCATACGAAGTAACGCTGGACCAGCTGGCGAAGAAAACCCTGGAGATCTCTGTGTGGGACTATGACTTGGGAATGAGCAACGACTTCATAGGTAGGCTAAGAAAAAGCTGATGTATGGAGGGGAGGGGTGGAGAGGGAAGCTGCGGCAGCAAAGTAGATGACTGTACAAGAGTGTTTGAATGAAAGCGACGCAATTGCAGAAAACATAAAAACCAGGCCGAGCGTGGGTGGAGAGAAAAGTAAAAAAAAAAAAAAGAAAGAAAGAAAATGCGGAGATGAGGGGTAATTATGAGGCTTGAGGAGAACGATTTGAGCAAGCCAAGGCGAGTTTGAGTGGAAAAGGAAATGGAGATGCTTTAGAAATCAAAAAGGATCCCCATCCTTCGTGGACTTGGCACATCAGATTGCTGCTGCTTCGTCAGAATGCTTAACAGCTTTGGCATGGCCTGATGTGTATATCACAGCAATGGAACACATGGGAGCTTAGGGAGTGATGGGGAAGTAGTGGGGAGGCACAGTCAGAATGGATTACCACCCTGTGAGCTTGGAGGCCTTCAGATCAAAGCGTTTTACTCTGTCTAATGTGTGTGTGTGCATGTTTGCGTGTGTGTGTATGTATGTGTCTGTGTGTGTGTGCACATGAGTGTGAGGCCGTGGGTGGGTTGTTGGGAGACACCCAGTGTAAAGATAAGCACAGTGAGTTATTAGCCCTGCTGGGAGAAAAGGCCATCAGTCTAACATACAGCCCCAGATAACGGCCATTCCCCTGACCATTATCATTACAGGTCTGCTAGCATGCCAGTTATGTTAATTGGGGCTGGGAGAAAAATGACATAGCAACACAGAAAAATGGAGAAAGAGATCTGATAAAGAGGCAAGTGAACATAGTCCCAGTCACTTGTGTAAGAGTGAGAGCAGTAAGAAGCAGGCTAATAGGCTTGGCAGAAGATATAGGGGCTGTCACCTGGTAAAAGGTGAGATTTCAGAGATACATGGAGGAGAAAACTCGACAATGAGGGAATAAATTTGAGGGCAAACGTACACAAAAAAACACAGGCAATAAATCAAGTGGATGACTTGTTGGAAAGATCGATACACAAGGAGAGATGGGAAATTTCATCCTCACCATGAATCATTCTCAACCTCTTCTGAGTGAGTCACGTTGTGTTTTACAAAGTCTATTTCATGAGACAACAGCCGAAGAAACTGAAGAGACACTATGGCCCAATCCCATTTCTCATTTTCGCCCCTACCCCTACCCCTCTTTTTCGAGTGCCCCTTGCCCCTTGCAACAAAGTTACAAGGGGTAGGGGTTGAAATATTCCCCTATGAAATGGGACAACCCTTCATACCCGGAAACGTCATCATTAGTCATCTGTGACATCATAAAAAGGCGCAACGAGTATGTTGCCGGGGAAACATACTTTTGTTATGTCTGTTAGAACAAATTTATATAATACATAATACATAATACAATTTATATAATACATTGAAACGACATTTCCGATGGTTATCATAGTCTTTAAATCTTTGGTTACGAAGAAAATACTTACATTTATGGTTTTCATTCATTACCTCTGAAGCCTTCCCTGCCATCTTGCCGGTGATTCACAAGGCATTCTGGGAGATTTCTCGTAGCACTCGCTTTGAAGTGTGCCTCTGAAAAAACTCCGTTTGGAGGGCCATATAGCCCTAGCTCTCTGCCCTTCCCCTCTGCCTCAATGAGAATCGGGACATCCCTACCCCTATGCGTGAACACGTGAAACAGAGGGGTAGGGGCAAGTGGTAGGGTTAAGGGGTGTATTGGGATTGGGCCTATAGATATAGATATACAAGTCTTTAAAGGTGATGTGTGTACGATTTGGGGGAATTTGGTGGCATGTAGCAGTAAATTGCAGATTGCAACCAGCAAAAACTTCTGCTGTCCAGAATTCCTTCACTGTTTATTGTTCAGAAGTTTATAATGGGGGCCAAATTATCTACAGAAGTCTCTTTTTCTCCCGAAAAAAACAGACCAGGCAATAAGATTAGCTAAAAACACTAAACAAAGCAGTTTCACGTTACAGATCAGTACTTCTCCGACGCTATTCAGCATAACAAGGCTCACCCACAACATGCTATTGTATGCTCACCCCTTTTCTCTCATAAGCTAATGTGTGCTCACCTTTTTCTGATGCAGACATCCAGGAGATTTAATTGTGAGTCTCTTCCTTTCCTTAATAAACAGACCTGGCAATTTAAACTGGTAAAGACTTTGGCACGTTGCTAGTGCAACACTTGCTAATGTGAAGTCAACCTTTTTTTACTCCGATGACATAAGATGCAGATGTCCACAACATTTTCACCGGAATATCCACAAAGGCTTCTTCCTCTCTAAACAAACAGACCACGTGATGTCAACTACTAGAAACACTGAATAAAGCAGTTTCACGTTATATGTCAATTTTTGTCTGGTGCTGCACATTGCAGTTTGGCTTCTAACTAACGTGGCCAACACAAAAACGCAAATGGCCTTATCTAGAGCCAGTGTTTAGTTTGGTTTGTCCATTCTGAGCTACTGTAGAAACGTGGTGATACAACATGGCAATCTCCATAAACAAAGACCTGCTCCCTATGGAAACACAAATGGCTTCTTAGAAGGAGAACACAACAATTCACATTTTCAGGTGATTATACACTAAAGAAAACATACTTTAATATTATATTCAATTTCTGCCAATTTATCCTCCTAAATCCTACACACTGGTCCTTAAAGTCTTTTGGTGGAAGACAAGTCTCATGTCAATTGAGACAAGTTCATATCAAGTCTTAAGAAAGGGTTAGTTGATCTGATACCCAAAATCAGTATGTGTGCTGATAAGCAGGTGAGTTATTGGGCAAGATGCAACTGATCCAATTAAATACAGTTTATTACGGAAGCCCTGAGAAGCGAGGTCAAAATTTTTTCGACTGAATCCTGCCTGCACAGGCTGTTCTCATAAAGTGTATGTTTTTCTACAAAAAGTAATGCATCCAAATTCATACATATCCCACATAATCATGAGCCAGTAATTCATGCACAACCCACGTATTTTGGAAGGCTGTGGTCATGTGACTAGTGTGCTGATGGGAGTAAACTAGAGAGCAGTCCTTAGCAGTCTGTGAGGAGACAGGTTGGGGTCGTGGATGGGTCACAAAACCATGGTCTTTCCTCCCGGGACTTTCCCCAGGAGACACTTGTTTAGAACCACGTGAACTCTGAGTGAACCTTGAGTGATTTTAAGGTACATCCTCACCATGTTTCTTTTCCTTAACGTAACCACTGTAACTTTACTTGCCCAAACCTTACCTCCGTAACTTTACATAAATTGCGTAAAAAGCCATCAGGGCACAATACAGAAAAAGAAAAAAAGGAATAATTTTTGCTTGTTCGCAAAGTTGTTCATTTGTGTTGATTTCCCATTAGCTCTTGTTCTTTTTTGTAATATTAACAATAAATATAAAAGTTAATACATTGTTTTGAAGGCATGCTGACATGTGGACCAGGAATTCTTTTCACAATATTAAAAATTCATTCTGTAATGCTATTATTTCTTTGTCATCCTCTATGGTCCTATTATGCATGAACAACACTACATTGCCTCCATGATCTCCGTTGGTAATGCTCTGTTTTGTCCATATCCATAAGTTTTCAGAAAGCATGCTCAAGTACAATGCAATGAACGCAGAGTATAGACAAAAGGTTCCATCCATCTCTGTGTTCATATCTAATGAGGAGCATAAATGAGCCCTTAGAGTGAAAAGTCAAAATCCTACATACTTTCTCACCAACGCACTCCTGGCCTATCGCTGGGCGAAGTAGGGATGTTTGTTAGACTGTTGGTTTTTAGAAAGTTGCTAAAATGGTCAGACACAATGATTGATGAGCCAACGAGCACTTTGTTTGAAGCGTATGCCTTCCAGTCTACATTTGTGCTGGATATTTAGTTCACACATTCTTGTGTATCTGCTGGTTGGGTCGAATGAGGCAGATGTGCAGCGGAGGACAATGTTGTGAGGGGTAAAAATAAGCAGACAGAGAACAGGGTCGAACCTGTGCAAATGTTGCTGCACACCTGCTCGCCAGTGTCAGCCTCACCCTTGTCTGTGCCATCTCCTCCGGCTCTGGTTCCTCATCCTTCTTCTGTCCCCAAACGCATGTCAGGATGGCTGACCGTTTGTCATTGGCAACCCGCAGGCTCAGACAACACTCCATCGATCTCTGTTCGGAGGTGGTGGGAGTGTTGTGGGGGCGGAGGTGACTAAGTGATGTGCGTGATTATGCCATCGAAACTCTGTCAACAGGTTTCGAACTTCTCTCTGAGTCCTGTGTGAAAGGACAGGGAGGGAGGATACAAGATAGGAAACACTTAAAGGCTGCCTTTTTCCTCCCAGAAGCAGCATCTCAAGGCAGCATTTAATACTGGGCTCAGATGAGTTGCAGATCAACAATCGAGCCTGGTTTGCTCGCGGCCATCATTTTCCAAGGCGCTGTTAGAAGGCAGCATTGCCAAAATACGGTGTTTAAAACTTCACGCTCCATTAACTGTGCAATCACAGCCAAGGGAATGGCTTTGTAATAACCTCGGTGTGACAACTGCCTGCATCTCTCTGGCTTACGGTCTGCCTCTCCACCAACGCCTCCGTCACCTCCGCTCACTTTCACCTGAGTCATTTCCTGCTTCTATGCATATTTATTTCCTCCATGCTCTTTCAATAAATCTTTCGTTATCTCAATCTCTCTGTCTTGTAATTCCCCAGCTAGCAGCCTGTTTCTCTCTCTCTCTGCCTGGAGGACTTTGTCTCAAATGTCTTTTTACTTCCGTCTTTTCTCCCATGTCTGTCTACTCATCAAATAATAATCATCTTTATTGGCATGAATGTAGGCTACATTATTGCCAAAGCAGCTACATTACTGAGTATTAGATTTTAACAAGAAGGCAAAATGTCTGTAAGGCTGTCCCCTTGTTTGTTGTTGTTTTCTAATGTCACCAGTGGTGGAAAGTAACTACATTTACTTAAGCATTGCTAGTCATTTTTGAGATACTTGTTCCTTACTTGATTAGTTACATTTTACACCACTTTTTATTTTCTTCTTGATTAAATTTATGAGGGAAATAATGTACTTTTTATCTGGCACCTATAGTTACTTTTCAAGATAAGGTTTTACTTAAAAATACATGATAAGCTTATAAGATTAAATCAAACAGACTCTAGCTGGAGCCCCTTGTCACATTTTACATGTCTATCAGTTGTTAGCAGTTCCACTGAAAATGTCTCATATGGTGTCATTTAAAGCATCATCATGACAATGTATCAAATGAAAATGTGAGAAGGAGTTCTCTAATGGGCTGACAGAGAATTATCACGCTAATCGGCAGCTCCTCTCGGTTTTACAGAGGTTTATAGTGAGTGTAAGATTTAAAAGTTAAGTTAATTTATACATTTGAGTTAATTTACCAAAAATATATTTCCAATGTTTACGCTGTCAATTAGTCATATATTTGTGCTTTATTATCTACATATTTACAGTTCAGATATTTACACCAGCATCTTTTGAAACAGTTAAAACAGTCTCTTGAATCTGCTTCTGTGGTTTTACCTCATTTCAGTTATATTTACCCTGGTCTAGGTCATTCCTGGCCTCTAATTGGTTGGGTTAGTCACATGGGGGTTAGAGACAAGGAAGTGTAATTGTTGTTGTGATTCAGATGCCGGGAGCCTCAGTAAAGTTCTGCTTAACAGTCATCTGTCTCAATCTTGCTGTTTCCTCTCATGAAGAGTGTCTAAATACCACCTATCGAACCTTCACGTTACAGTGAGTTTCAGCTCATTGTTTAGCTGTGCGGCTGCAACTTTAACATTTTGCTGAACTTTAACTGTTGTCATGGCGTTGTTTTCTCCCTAAAAAAAGCTCTCAAAAGCTCTCAACACTGTGCACTATCTGCTCAGCAAACCGCAGACAGATTAAGTTAAAGATTGTCTGGTGAACTGAGTGGAGCATTTAGCAGCTAAAAAGACAGATATTTCCCTCAGGAGTTGGAGGAGACCAAAAACAGAGGTGAAAGAGAATGAATGTTGACTTGGCAGAAACACAATTGACCTATGGCTAAGCCACGCCCCCCTCCACTCACTCAGACAAAATATCAATATTCAGTGACCAACGCTATGGCAGGTGTCACAGTATATTTGCAGGAGGCAATTGATGATTTTTGGAGACATAACGATCAAATTTTGGTGCATCAAAGTGCCACTGAAGTTAAGGTTTTTGGCTCAGAATATGAGAAAAGGATAACGGCCTTTTTACCATCTTTACCAAGAGTGTCTCTCCGTTAGTTTGGTGCTACAGTATTTACACTGAATCATTCAGCATAACGTTTGTTAACCTTTGTTATCTCTGCAATTACAGATAAATTAATGAAGCTAAGCCCCAGAAGTTAACGTTAGCTTAACTAGAACCCTTTGGACAACAACTAACAATGATGTTTGATCACCAAAGTACAAAATCTAGAACAAAATAGGCTAATGACCTCCCAGCAAACAAGGTGACATGATGAACAAAGCAGCTAAGAGCTAACATTAGGCTAACTTTAGATAACGTAAGCTAGAGATGTTAAAGATAACTTTATATTTCTTTCCAGCAAAGTGACAATATGTTGCCTCAAACACAATGTTGACTTACCTTAGAACAGATGTAGACATCATTGTTAATCTTATTCACGTTGAGTTAATGTTGTCGTCTAACATTACGGCACAACTTTATCCAAAGAAGACATGTTTCTCGGTTGAGATGTGGTTTAGGAAAGTGTAAAAAAAACACCCTGTCGCCCAGCCTCTCAGGATACCTTGTGTCGGAGTTGCATGTACCCCATGCAAACCGTTTGACTATTTTTAAACTTCAAATCTCAGAAAAAGCTCATAAATCTGAATGAAACTGACTTTTTGCAATGCATTTCAATGGACGTCCAGGCAGAGAATGTCCGAGTGTATGGGAATGGTTTTAGGCACTGTGATTGGCTCATCGCGTTTGAGGGCGGGGCTTAGCCATAGGTCAAGTCCAGATGAATGATAGCTGCTGGGTGTGTAAGTAAGTTCAGCGTCAGTGTTGTGTTCCAACCCAGTCGCCAGAAAAAAATATTGGCATTGTATGTTCTGCAAAACACTGATATATTTGCACGTCATTATGTTGCAGATATGTTGAAACTGTACATTTACATTTTAGCAACGCTGTGGTTAACGTGTGGTTAGGTTTAAGCACAAAAACCACTTGCTTATGGACATGGTAAGGAAAATATCATGTTTTTGCTCAAAGCACTCTGTTTGGGGGGCAAAATCTCGGAAAACAGCGATGTCTCAATAAAAACCAACTGAAATGTATGAAATGTGCAAATTTATCATACAGTACACATACAATACCAACATTTTTTTCTGGTGACTGGGGTGTGTGTTAACAACTTTTTTCTGTCTCCCCCAAGTGACCAAGAAAAAAAAAAGAAAGAAAATTCATGATTTTAATTTTCTCCATTTTTAAGGGCCTAACATTACCTCACATTTTACCAAAAAAGCATGAGTAGGGACAAAGAGGAAAGTGTAGACAAAAATCTGAAAAGAAAAAAAAACAGCAAAATTTGGAAATACAAGCTCTTCCTGCAGCTCACCCCTGTCTGTCCTAAGGCCCTCCCAGCAGATGACCACAGACATACTGTATGCACATCCTTCATACAGTAACCCAGTGTTTCCCCATACATTGATTTATTTAGTTTTATTTTATTGTAGCGTTGTACACGACACATTCGCTCAGTCCTTCCTTGCCCCACTCTCTCCCTCTTATCAGACCACAAATGAGAAAAGAATGAACTAGCAAACCACCCAATGGACCCTCTGCCTCACTCCCCTTCACTATGGAATGCTTCCCCAGGAGGAAAGTGGGTGGTAGCTCCAGACCTCCAGACCAAGGCAGCAACAGAAAGTTTGCTGATCCGGCGGGGTTGGGATTTGCGCTGGTTGTTTTACTGTGGCCGCTGACAGGAGGTGCATCTCTGGAGCTGCTTCACGCTCTCCTCCCTCTGAAGTGGTCTGTTGCGGAGGGCAGTGAGGCAAAGAACACTCTGTGATTCAAGGCTCCAGCTAACGTTAGCTACATAAACATGAACTTGAAGCTGCAGCTATGAGCCTTTAGTTCATGTCAGCAGAGGGCTAATCTCCATCCCTGAAATGCTTTGTTGATAACACGTGTTTTATTGCAGTTTTTTTCAGTTTCTCTTTTAGACTCTCTTTTTGATAAGTTTGTCTTCCTTTTTTGGGTTGATCTGCAGTGTAGGCAGTTATTGCCAATGCTGGAATAGTAACTTTCTCTGCAGGATTCTCTGGCACTGAATCAGACTTTTACCAAAGGGATGTGACCGCACATCTGCATTTGTAGAGCAGCCAGTAGGAACGCCCTCTCTCTGAAATGACCTGTGATTGGCAAAAGTCTCCTGCCACGGGCTAGATTTTCTAAAGCCTAAACACAGAGCCAAGAGAGGGTGCAGAGTTTAGTTTGCAGTCGACTTGGTCTACAGTATGCTTACAGATTAGATTTTGCCTACCCAAGCTTTAAATAATGCAATATATAATAATATATCAGTTCCAGGTGACACTTTCCTGCAGAAATTTTACTTGTAATGGAGTGTTTTTACATTGTTGTATTTGTACTTTGACCTAACTTAAGGATCTGAGTGCTTCCTCCACCACTGGCCTTTCACCTTTTATTCCTTTCCTTGATTCCTCCCACTTTCTTTCTCCTTTCGTCACCCACCAAAATAAAATTCCCATCACCTCCTTACTCTTCTCCATTTCTGCCTTTGTGTTTACAGGCGGAGTGGAGCTGGGCATCAATGCAAGTGGACAGAGACTCAGACACTGGTTCGACTGTCTCAAAAACAAAGGGAAGAAAGTGGAGTACTGGCATACGCTCACACAGCAAGGAGCCCCGAGCAGTGACAAACCGGACTAGATCACACAAAAAATTCATGCATACACGCACACGTACACACACAAACACACACTGGAAGATGGTTGATAACAGAGACCAAGTCAAACAGTAGTAAGAACAAAGGATAAAACATGCAATAATAATAATAATGTTGAAACTGATCATATAACGCCAACAATTACTGCACCAAGTATTAGTATATGATATTCATACTAATATTAGTGATGGTAAAAGGTTGTAATCTGAATACTTTTTTTTTTTCAAAGGTGAACCAAATTGTGACAATGTCCTCATTAAAGTGTTAACGTAACAAAACAATACTTACAAAATTGTGCTTTAGACTTTAATGTATCGTGGAAGTCGCTCATATTCTGTCATTCAAATTTACACCTAATGAAGAGATTTGAGATTAATGTACTCAAAGTTCATTCAGTGAAAGGCGCCAAAAGTATGTGCACGCTAGTGACTCATAATGTGGTACGTAGTTAAAGAAGCAGAAATGTAATGAAAGAGTGATTCTGTACTGAGAAGAAGTTTCTATTTTAGTGGTTGTTGATCTGATGCAAAACAACACACCGTATTATAAAGCACAAAATGATCCATATGGTGGATTTGTACCTTTACCGTTTCAGTGTTCTTGTTCTTATGTCTTTCATTGTCTTTAAGTGACAGTGGCTTTCTATACACCTTCATACCAGACATTAATGTGTCAGTGTGTGCGTGTGTGTGCATGAGGGCTATGAGAATATGAGTGCCTACATTTTCTGTCTGTGCAGTGTGTATGTGTGTGTGTGTGTGTGTGTGTGTGTGTATCTGTATTCACATCACACCCCATTCAAAATGTCTCCATCCAAAGTTAAGAAGCACAGAGCGAGGTGAGAAGAAATATTAACAAAGGACAAGAAAGACATGAGAGAAACCCTACGCCACCGCAGGCCTCAGTGGTGTGAGTGCTCCTGGCTGGGGGACACTGACAAGCTGTCAATCATGTGTGTGCCAGAACCTTTGCCATCAATGTCTCCCATTGCCAGCCAGTCATAGTGCAACTTTCAGGATGGATTTTATCTTGATTGTAACCTCTGACCGCTCTTTTTAAGCTTTCCTGATGAAAGGATGAATGGATATACAGATATTGCTTTTTGGAGGTGCCGTTTGTAGCTTCATTTCACTGCAGCTTTTCAGATTTCAACAGGACCCAAGCAGGTTTTACCTCAGTGACTCCAATTCTGCTCCAACAGAGTCACAGATGATGCAATATTTTCTCCCTGCACGGCAATATCCCAGCAGTAATGCATTAATTTGAAAATTCAGGCATTTGATTGGTCCTATTATCAGATTTATGAGAATAGGGACTCCCAATAGCCTGAAAAAAGTCCCCAATTCAACATTTTACACCCTCAGACACTGTTCTGGAGAGAATGTAAAAAGTATGTTCAAGAAATTTGGCTGAAATCTACATCAACCGTCTCAACCATAGCTCTTCTTCTTCTTCTTCTTCTTCTTCTTCTTCTTCTTCTTCTTCCTCATCTTCATCTAAAGGGTGTCATTCCTGTGATCAGTGTTGCATTCATCCCATTACCTCTGACCTGTAAAATATCAGGTCTGTAGTGACATGTATTTCATCCTCTGGAAAAGAGACACCAGGACTATTGTGTCCATGTCTGTGACATGATGTCCACCTACATTTTAAAGGAGATAGTTCACGTCTTTTGAAGTGCGGTTGTATGCAGTACTTACCTATACTCATTGTATTACATGTCAGCTGGCATGTCTCCGGTTTGGAGAAGCAGGCTGGAGTCCAACATGAAAGCTAAGCAATGTACTTCTGTGGATGGGGGGTCAACAACAAAATGTCTTTTAGCAACCTAAAAAAAAGTCCTTCCTAAAAAAAAATCAAGTGCACACTTATATTTTGAATTTTCACTGCTTTACCTTGCTATCAGACAGTTCTTTTCTGAAGCCTAGGGTTGAGCCCAATAGTCAGAGGGAATAAATACCCAGTACGGAAAATGTACTTTTTACAAGTATTATTTAAGTAAAACGTGTCAATGTCTGTAGTTGTCATGAAGGAGAATCATCATTTGAATAGCTGTGTTCGGTCTCTAACTCAAAAAATTGTCTGAAGCTCACTTCTGTGATGTTCTATATGTTCTGTAAATAGTTTTATAATAAATAATAAATAAAGCAACTTCTGATCAGCCAATATCAACTGCAGATGTAAATAACAAGTTCTGATTAGGCCCCACCCATTTTAAGTTAAACCCCACCCACTTCTGGTCTAAACTCTGCCCTTTCTAAGATCAAATATGGATAGATACAGATAATGGTGTACTCGCTCATCCCGTCTGAAACCATCATATCCCTGTCTTCAGAGCCAGACTCAACTATGTTCAGTGCGCAAAAATTACTGTTTAATTCAGTGGAGTATGGTGGCTTTGATGAGAGCACAGATGGGGACCTGACGCCGCTATTAGCTTCCCTGTCAGAACGGGCTGTCCGACGGAGAAGTACAGCAGTGAAAATACTCTCAATATAGCATACACTTAAACTGTAATGGATCTTTTTAGTTTGGACTTTTTAAGTTGGCTAAAATACATTTTGCTGCCTCCCCCATTTACAGCAGTACGCTGCTTAGTTTCCATATTGGTACTCCTGTCGCTTCTCCAAACACGGGGAGTGCCGACTGAGATCTACCGACTGACACACTGACAATGGATAGTTACCCCATACAACCCTACTTCAAAAAATCTGAACTATTCCTTTAACCTCAGGCAGTCAATTTCACCCTGCGTGCATGGCAGCAGGAGACAGTGGATCATCGAAGGCCAGGATCCAAGATACTGAAAAACTATGCTAGATCACCCACTGTCTAAATGCCTGCCAGAATATCAAATGTATTCCACTGGTTCATCTTTTACTACAGCTCTGGCCATACACAGGTTCACAAAAGCACACCCACAGTCAGTCAGTGGCCTCCGGGAGTTTTTCTAACTGTTGAATCGATCCGGCTGCTCATATTCTTGGTGTCCTTCAACAACCTTGTGAATGTCTCATCGCTGACTGCAAAAAAAAGAAAAAAGAAAAAAGAAAAAAAAAAGGATCCTTCAGTGGTGAATTAGGTTTAGAATAAAAAAGGGCTTGGGCATTATCAAAGCTCGGAACTAAACCATGTGGTGTAACAGGAAGCTTAAACACATTTTCAGTTAGACCTTAAATTACTTTAACAAGAGGGTTGGGCAAAGATTATTCGGTACTTTCTCTATGCACATCAGAACTCCCAGCACGTCGGCAGTGAGATAATCAAACCAAAACAACAACATTATGTTATCCAGGCATCAAAGATGCATTTTCTGGGAATACTCAGTACTTTGATTGGGGCTAGGCTGGGTGAAAGTGATCTAATAGAGTTCACATTTCAGGCTGGATGGTTGCTTCTTCCTGTCTCTGGATCTGTTGGTTTTGTTTACAGTCACCAAATTTTCTGACTTGTCTATTGACCCTGCTTTGTTTCTGTAATCACTTTATTTGCAATACAGCTGCATGTTTAGCGACCATTATATCAGCGTGTATAATAGAGTGCAACCATAGCTGATCAATCTGAATGCTGATGTGTTTACAGTCTCTGCCATCAGTGTGTATTTGTTTGTGAATACGATGATTCAGGGTATTTTTTGCTCAGTTGCTTTGCTTTACCAAGCAAGCTATTGCTTTAAAAGACAAAACCTTTACTGTCACAGATTTTGACACTTCGTCTTCCTTAAATTGATATCAGTGGGAATGATGCAGGAGGGCAGGGGCGAATGAGATGGGGAATTCACTACTGCAGTCCCTGTGTATTCACTGTCAATGTCAATCACACAGTATGGCTGCCATCCTGTGGTGGGTTTGTGTAACTACTTCGCAAAATAAAGAGAAGTCGTTTCAGTGGTCGTCTCTCTTCTTTTGAATGATCCACATTGTGCTTCATTCTTCCAAAACATAAGACAGACAGCAGGTGTGTTGTGCTAATATGAGTTTATTCATCATCATCCTTGAAAACAATCCACATTCAGAACTGGATGTTTCTGTGAGGGTCACTGCTCACTTTAGTAACTACCTGAAGCAATACTGATACTGAATGTACAGTGTTAAAGCACAGTAAGATTATTACATGTATTTTCCATTCTACCAGATGGGCTTTGTTTATAATATCTTTGTTTCTTTCCTGCCCTTTTGCCCATCTGTTACATCTGCACTCCCTCTCTCCGTTTCTCTCTCTCATGGGTTGGTCACTCTGCCAACAAAGAGTGGTACATTAGCCTGGTCACTCCACAGCAGCATGATGAAAGGCCGCAGGGCAGAGAAGGAAGAGAAGGAACGAGAGAAGGCCATGCTGGTGGCGGCCCCGGCCTCAACTCCTTGTTCAGTCAGTGCGAGGAAGGCTCTGTGTCTGGCATCATCCAAAGCTATCCTGTCTTCCGAGTAGAGACCACACAGGTTGGGATTCTCAAAGAGTAATGACAGTCCTGGTTGGGGGCAAAGGGAGAGAAAAGGGCAGAGAGGTGATGGCGGGGGAAGAAAGGATTAGATACCAGGAGATAAAAGAGCAGAAGGGTATGCTTATATACAAAATGAGACTTGCTGGTTGGTAGATAAAGTAATACTCAAGCTAAAAGCACAGTGTTTTTTTTTTTTTTGTGGTATTTTATTTTTTCCGTAGCTGAATGAGTCTGATGGACAGAAAAGAGCATGAAAGACAAACAAACCTAATTTCTTAATGAGTAAGTTCATGTCTGGCTCAACCTGCAGCTTGATTTTGGGCAGAGTGACCTCGACACGCTGAGGAGATGTTGTTTTCAGTTGTTCAATCACTTGACGCACAGCTGTGTCCGTCATCTTCTCCTCCAACTGCTGCAGGTCACTCACTTTGTTGGAGCGAGGCAGCAGGATGTAAAGACTGTTGTCACCCGTGAGAGCCAACCTCGCCACCTGTTGGCAAAATAAAAGATCCAGGTGTTACTGTGTTTCCCCCCGAGACCCCCACCCCGTCTACTCTCGTAGGCGGGGTGGGGGTCTCTCTTGACAGTGCAACATTGAATATATACATGATAATGGGTCTCTCCTATTATTATTTTTTGTCTTACTTTGATTTTTAGGGGATAATCATGCACCAAATTTTGGAACAATAGTGTCCAAAATTTTTGGGGGATATAAACAGGAAGTATCAGTTGAGTGAACGTTGATAAGGTGGGTGAAGTACTTGGTAGATGAGTAGGTTACTGAGGAGGAAGTGGGTATACTCTCCTATAAATTCCTTGAATAAATGAATGAATATTTTATTTTTGTGTCTGGACATTTAGATGACTCATCTCTCATGGGATTATTCACACACAACCAATAACAAACCCAAAATTCCAGTATGGTAACCCACCATCATCCAACAGCTCAATACATATATAACATCCAGACATAAGCACCAACATTATCAGGCAAAAAAAAAAAGACATAAATCTCCAACAAACAATGTATCGAGAGATATCCAACAACAAAAAAGAAACAGAAAGCCCAAACAAAGCCCTATGAGTACAAGACACAATACATAAATTCAAACAAGACAAAATCTACATCTACATGAATCAGTGCCAAATACTATTTGATCCATTTCACAGACCAATAATCCGCAGTCCAAACAAAACAAAACAAAGTTGGGGTCAGTTATACGCTTTCTTTCTACTCCTATCCCACGCCCTAAAAAAATACTCAGAGAATGCATGACATTATCAAAAAGATATTCACTTAAAGCCCCATCCTCCACCATTACCAAAGCTAAATCAGGAATTTGACATTTTAACAATATTTGTCTTAAAAAGAATGAAGTTCATTTAATTTCCCACCTCATTCAGCTCACAATATTCAGTCTTTCATCTTCAGTCACACATTTGTATCCTCCAGTTTCAATTTACAGTGGTAATATACCATGCTTTAGCTGTGCACAGAGTGATATCTGACATAAGTTATACTAATAATATTTTCCACATTTGGAGTCTCCCTTAAATAAACATTAAGTTCTCAATTTTGGCTTTTGCCATATTTCCTCTGCCAACGATTGTGTGCATTTAGCCCAGACCCAATGTTTAAACTCTCCCACGTGCCCATTAACCTCCAGTTAAATATTTTACTCGCCACACCACAGCCTGTTCCACATGCAGGCTCACCATGCTCACCTCATGTCTCCCACAAATGCCAAAACAAATGAAGTCACAAATTGTCTGATTCTGGACATGTTCATTTTTTAAAACTTTTTGTCACCCTATATTCCTGATACATAATCTTAAACAGGACATAAACATGTTTGCTACGTCTGAAATATGCAGAATATCCTATATCTCTCAGCATTTTTGTTTTACCGATAAAACCTCCCAGCGGCCTACTTGCAGAGTCCGCTAGAACTGATGCGCCATCTATAACAGACATGCTTTCATCTAGAAAAAATAACAAGATACTTATATTTATCTGTAAAATTGTTTCTTACCAACACAATACTTAAAACTACTCCTTTCTATGCCTGTTTTCTGAAAATGCATAACTTGTTTTTTTTTTTAAATGATACAGTCTACATCTTTTGCACCCTTCAGCAACACATCAGCATTTTTTTGTAGATCCTCCTCATTTTTTGACAGCAAAATAATATAATCAGCATTAAGAAAAATGTATGTAAGTACATGGTCACATAATACCCCTTCCCCCAGCTGTTCTACCTCTCTTGCCAGATCATTGATAAAGACAGCAAATAATGCTGGCGATAGAACATCCCCTTGTTTAACACCAGAGGGCATGGAAAACCATTCTGTAAAATCTTCATTCACTTTTACACAGGCAGCATGTGCCCTGTATAAGGAGTTAACAGCCTCTTAGAATTTTCCATCAACCTGTTTGGTAAAGCTTATATTTTAGGAGTTTAAGGTCGACACAGTCAAACCTCCTTTGAAATCTATAAAACATGCAAATGTGGGATTATTATATTATATATATATATATAATCTGTTTCTAATCACTGTGGATACGACATGAATATGAACTTTACAGGCTCTTCCCTTTGGAAAACCATTTTGCTCCTCCCCTGGTAGATTGTTTTGCTCTGAAAACTGTACAGGTCTATTAATGAAAATGGATGAAAACAATTCATATGCAGTGCTTAGTAGACTAATGTCCCAATAATTCAATGGCACCTTGGGGTCATCTTTTAATTTAATTTAATTTTTTAATTTAATTTTAATTTTTAATTTTAATTTAATTTTATATACTTTATTAATCCCCGAGGGGAAATTCAATTTTTCACTCTGTTGTCAATTACACACAGGTCCAAACACACACATAAGGACCTATACATGCACTAAGTGGAGAGATGTCAGAGTGGGCTACCCATGACAGGCGCTCTGAGCGGTTGGGGGGTTCGGTGCCTTGCTCAGGGGCACCTCGGCAGTGCCCAGGAGGTGAACTGGCACCTCTCCAGCTACCAGTCCACGCTCCATATTTTTGGTCCAGACGGGGACTTGAACAGGCGACCCTCCGGTTCCCAACCCAAGTCCCTATGGACTGAGCTACTGCCGCCCCCCAAGGATCTTGGAATAGGAGTTATAATGGATTTAAACCAAACAGAGGCCACAATACTGCACCAGTGGTAAGAAATTTATACTGTTGCCATCAAGGTGCAACACAGAAGTGCCAAAAATTGCAGTTCCTTTAATGGCCACTGGAGGCTGGCTTCAAAAGCAAGTTAATCCCCATAGATTCTCCTGTTAAAATGCCCAACTTTACAGCAGAAATAAACGTGTTTACAGCCTGGTACAAAAAGCTGTTTTGGTCTCTAAAGTTCATTTCCTCATTCATGACATCTCTACAGGGCTAAAAGTTTTATATAATTCACCTGTTTAAATGTAATTAAGGGTTAAAGTTATGAATAAGTAGGGGCATGGCCGCTTTGAGTGACAGGTGGTTGCCGCCCATTGACAGGTTGCTACCACAACAACGTTTGTTAGGTAACGTAACCATGGCATATCCCCAGACTCACAGAGTGTAGCAGTAGCTGTCACTGTCGCTATTTCAGTCTGTTGTCAGTGTATCAGAGTTAAACTGTAATATTTTGGTTATGCCTAAAAATTTCTTGTTCAGTGTTTGGTTATAACATGACCCTCTGAGGGCTCGGATACTTAGTTTTTGCATTTTTGTAGAAATTGTTTTAAGCCTGTTTTTTCACAAGTGAAAATTAGCATTAGCATTAGCAGATAACTATAGCTGTAAATGCACTGTGCTTACCAAGCTAGCAGCTACTGTTAGGGTTAGCTCCACCTTCTATTCCAAATATGGTCACTTCTGGCTCCAAAAATCCAAGATGGTGATGGTCAGTATGCCAAATTCAAGGCTTCAAAACAGGAATCCACAAATCATGTGGTTGTCATACACTCAGTTGGCTAGTTACTCGAAGACTTTTGCCTGTATTCTTTTACCCCTTGGCAAATTGGCACCATTACATGTTTGCCAAAGTGGTTATTAACAGTTACTGTTTGCAATTCAAGTATAGATTTATAGGCAGCTATCCCAGGTTTACACTGATATTGAAGAAAACTTAAAAACTTGATGATTCTCAAACAGGTTCTGAGTCATAAGAAGCATCCTTTTTCTATGATTGCTAAGAGGATTTATGGATGTTTATTCATGATGGAAATGATATTCTGAGAGATTGTAAGTCACACTGAATGTAAACAAATGTTTCATGTCAGTGTCCTCAGATTTGACTGAGCTATGATTTGAAGAAGCAGTGCGGATTTTGATGCAGTTTCCCCTTTCATCTCACACAGTATCTTTACCTCACATCTCCCATGGCCCCCTTCTACTCTCCTCACAGTTTACAAACCTCAGCTGTACTCTGTGTGAATGGGTGGGTTAAAGTGGGTATTGGCTGTTCCTTACGTGTGCCTTCAGCTCGACTACATACTTAGTAGCTGCCATGTATCGCGAATGATAGAGGATTGGCACCGACACCATATCACCATCCAGTTTTGTGAAAAGTCCTTTCCGGGGTTTCATATCATACTTGACCTTCCACTGACCTGAAAAACACACACACACACACACACACACACACACACACACAGAGTTTTTTAGTTTCCATCACTTCCACATGGGCATCCACACATTTATGCACACACACTTTACTGACCGCTAAAGGAGACTGCGTTGAGCAGCATCATCTGTGTATTGGGTGATACAGAGTCAACCAAATGTTGGATCTTATTGTTGGTCTTATTTGCCACCCAGCTGTTGATCATCTGTGTGTTTTCCTCACTGGTTTCCAGCAGCCTGGTGGGCTTTGCTTCATAAAACTGGATGGACTGGTTGGTAAAGGACTCGCTCAGATTCATATCTGAGGAGGAGAACAGAGAAACCATGATGAGCTACAGAGATTGGGATCTTTTTGTATGCACTCAGAATCTCTGCATCAATCTCTTTGACTGCAGACAAGCTATTTTGTGATCTTCACACAGTGATAGTAATACTATAAGGGTTATAGTAGATCTGAGAAGCCATCTGCAAGGAGCCGGCCAACTTCTCTCTAAGCTTCTTCATCTGGAGGTGAACACAGTGGAAGTCATGAGGCACACTGACAGCCGTCTCAATGGCTCTACGGGTGTTATCCCTGGCACCTAAATGTAACAGAATGAAGAAAAGACCATTTATAGATAGACACAGGCCTAATGTACTTTAGAGTGGTATTGAAAGCTGCAAGGTATGTCTGACATTTAATTTAAGTACAGAAATACCCCTGTGACATTTTAAAGTGAAAAACATCTTTTATGTAACTTCCAAGTTATATAAATGTTCATGTTGTCTACATGTGCACAGATGACACAGGGCTGATGTTGTTTGTTAGTCCAAAGACTTTTTAAGGATAACATTGGTGTTATTCTATATTTTTCTTAAGGCCTTTGCACACAATGTCCAAAATTGTTGCACGTAAAATCAATACAACCTCACATTTACACACTGACTCCAAAACTTGTGTGCAAAGGCCTTTATTGTCAACATATTCTATGAAAAGGAAAATAACAATGCGTTGATCTGTCCCCTCAAGACCTACTCTTCCTTTCTGTAGCTATCAGCCCTAAGCCCAGCTGTTCCTATACTGAAGGTGGACCTGTAACGACCCAATCGTCAGAAAAAATGTTGGCATCCTACAGTTCCGCAAACCACAGATACATTACATTTGCATTTTATGTAGCAGATACACTGAAACTTTATGTTTTAACAACACAGTGGTTAATGTGTTGTTAGGTTGAGGCAGAACCACTGATCATGTTTGGATCCCTGCAAGAGACCCAGCGATGTCTTGGTAAAAACAACTGTTTTTGTGGCACTATCCCCACTGGAAAAACTAACCTGATCTCACTTTGACATTGTGGAATACTCACACTTGGTCAGTGACTTCTGGTGTCAGACACAGACAAAAAAAGAAAAAGAAAAAGTCCTTTCACCTCTTCATGATAGTACGTCACTTTAGAAACATTGATATCATACAAGATGCAAATGTAACATATTCGTGGTTTGCAGAAACATACTATGCCAACATTTTCTTCTAGCGACAGGGCTGCCTATAAATATTTAGGGTAGCGAACCCTGCGCAGAGCTCGTTTCGAGCAGCGCAACCCGAGGCGCGCTCAGTTTGGTAGTCTGGCAGACCGAGGTGCGCTGAGATGGGTGTGGCAGAGCAGCAGGGGGAGGTGTCGACAGATCCAGCTTGGCGCAGTGACAGTTTTGTGCCAAAAGGCTTCGCTGAAGGTGCGCTAAAAGCTTGCCAGCTGAAACCAGGTCTACTGTCAGCAGGGGGAGCGCAGCCGGTGTAAACCGAAGTTTGGCTGACCGGCGGACAGTGCGCACAAGTCACCAAAACCTCACAGGCAGGTTTCCAGAATATCAGGCACATTAACGATGCAATAAATACCCAAAAAAAACACTATTCAATGCAACTATCTGCAATCAGCACATAAATGTATCTCTATATCGACTGTCCCGTCACATGTGATGTCAGATCAAAGGGGATTGGCACCGTTTGCATGTTTGGCACGCGTAATGGAAACCCAACCTGATTTGATTAACACAGCTGCAAACTAATGAGTTGACATCCCTCTCAGCCAACCACAAACAGCCACAGCATCAGATAGGGAGTATATATTCAGCATCTGTCATCTTAGAAAAGCCAAAAGAAAAGAAACAGAGTGAGACTGCAAGAGAGAAAGAGAGAGCGTGCGCGCACGAGAGAAACGCAACATTGATTTACAATTGTGGTGACCTCCTCCCAGGCTACCTTTGCATCATCAGCCCGTGGAGGTCTGCTCGCAGTTCCATATATTCGGACACTGCGAGCTTGGACCTCCCAGGCCAAAACATCAGTTTCCTCCTGGGAGAAGTTTGGCCATCTGACGCTGCTGCTCTCTTCTGCCATGGCGAATTGAGTAAACTCTTATTACGCCCTCGCGCGGCGCATTTAAGGGCGAGGAGAGGGGTCATTTGATTGGTGTGATGTGTGTAAAACCCACTCCACACCTTCTCTCCTCCCTCTTTCCGACTTGTGCAGGTAGGAGGGACGGAGGTGGGAAAGAGGAGTAGCTGCGCCAGGCGCACGGTGTGCCAAACTTGCAAAATCCGCCTGGCCACACCCAGTTGGTGAAGCGCAAGTGCGCTGTGCCCCCGCCGCACCCGGTCTGCGAAACTAGAGCCCTGAATGTTAAATGTTAAATCCAAAAGATGAATCTAAATCTAAATGTTAAATTTAAATCTAAATCTAAATGTTAAATCCAAATGTTAAATCTAAATGTTAAATGTAAAATCTACATCTAGATCTAAATGTAAAATCTAAATGTTAAATACAAATGTTAAATCTAAATCTAAATGTTAAATCTAAATATTAAATGTTAAATCTAAATCTAAATGTTAAATGTTAAATCCAAAAGATGAATCTAAATCTAAATGTTAAATGTTTATCTAAATGTTAAATCCAAATGTTAAATCTGTTAAATCAGGTGTGTGCCCCCGCCTCACCCGGTCTGCGAAACTAGAGCCCTGAATGTTAAATGTTAAATCCAAAAGATGAATCTAAATCTAAATGTTAATCTAAATGTTAAATTTAAATCTAAATCTAAATGTTAAATCCAAATGTTAAATCTAAATGTTAAATGTAAAATCTAAATCTAGATCTAAATGTAAAATCTAAATCTAAATCTAAATGTTAAATCTAAATCTAAATATTAAATGTTAAATCTAAATGTTAAATGTTAAATCTAAATCTGAATATTAAATCTAAATCTAAATGTTAAATGTTAAATCTAAATCTAAACATTAAATCTAAATCTAAATATTAAATGTTAAATCTAAATGTTAAATTTAAATCTAAATCTAAATGTTAAATCCAAATTCAAATGTTAAATCTGAATCTAAATGTTAAATGTTAAATCTAAATGTGCTTGGTGAAACGACATAATTAGCTAATATGCAAATGCACACTGCCGGTCAACGGATGTACCAAAATAAAAGCCTGAGTGGTCAAATCAAACTAACTGGAGAAAATGAACACTTGAACATACATCAGCGTGATAAGAACTACCTTAAATGACAGAAACCATGTTTGGGGAAATTTTATTTGACGTGTGCTTTGAGTTTTTAGTGTCCCATCTGAATTTCAGCAGTGCATCGTTGGCGACAGTGACTGTATCCACCATAGAGCCACCACAGCACTCGGTAAGTTTGTTTTCTAACTTGCGTAGCATGTGTTCCTTATGTAAGCTATATGAAACTAGCTAACATTAGCCCAGTAGAGATTTGGTGGAAGCCTGAGGAGACATTTACAAAATATTAGTGACATTTTCTTTTTGTGTGTTGTAACGTTACAATGTCCAGTGGTCAAAAACGAAACAAATACGCTATGCGTGAAGTACATTGATGCTAGCAGCAAATCTCTACTGGGCTAACATTAGCTAGTTTCATATACCTTACATCTTAACATAAGGAACATATGCTACGTGAGTTAGAAAACACACTTACTGAGTGCTGTGGTGGCTCTATGGTGGATACTGTCGCTGTCACCAATGATGCACTGCTGAAATTCTGAATTGCGGCCAAAACGGCCCTTCCAGTGTTTTCAGCTAAATCGCCGGACAAGTTGGCATGTTGGCAAGCAAGGAGAGCACGGAGAAAGTGACCGACAGTGGAGTGTACCCATAAATTCTGCACCCTCCATGTTGGCAGATGGGACACTAAAAAAAAAACAAAAATTTCCCCAAACATGGTTTCTGTCATTTAAGGTAGTTCTTATCACGCTGATATATGTTCGTGTTCATTTTCTCCAATTAGTTTGGGTTTTAATTTGTTATTTGATGCTATAAACACAGTCTGACCACCCAGGCTTTTATTTTGGTACTTCCGTTGGTAGTGTGCATTTGCATATGAGCTAAATATTAAGTTTCACCAAGCACATTTAGATTTAACATTTAGATTTATATTTAACATTTTGATTATATTTAACATTTAGATTTAGATTTAACATTTAACATTTAGATTCAGATTTAACATTTAGGTTTAACATTTAATATCTACATTTAACTGTGACATTATATCTAACATATTTCAAATATTGCTATAAATGTGGTAAAAAGTGACTTTAAAAAATTCACACCACTTTTTTTAAACATTGTCTTAAGTTAAATGTGGCAAAATGTTGCTGTTAATTTCAGTGCGCGCCACTTTACAAACAGCACCCCATAGCGGGACAATGTATGAGAGATCAACTCAAAGTAAACTACAGTGCCCACATTTCTCATAATGAAGCAACATGTGACCCAGTGCACAGTCGCTATGTTTACATGCACAAAATACTCTGTTTTTTGCCCTTGTTCTGAAAAAGACAATATTTTTACTCAGTTGTTTACACTGCTAATGAAACTGAACATTCCACTAATATACCAGTTCCATGCAGCCATGTATACTCCGCGCCCAAACATGTCATTTATCATGTCAAAACATGGTAAAGCAGACTGGCTGAAGCTGCATGTCATTTTGCTTCTCTGCATCAAAATAGGATTTTTCAGTTTCTTACCAGTGGTGGACTTGTTGGATCATGTGAACACAGACTCACTCTTTCATGCCTTTAACCAACTTCTTGTGCTGCGATATTTGCACATATTCTAGAATCTGTCAATATTCAAGTCTTTCATAATGTTTAAAAGGAAGGTGTGTTTCTCCTTCTGACTACAAATGTAAACAGACAAGAGGCCATGAGTCGCAAACGGTAGTAAAAAAAACCATTTTAGACGCATTTACTGAATGTGCTGTATACATGTCCAAAGAATGCTCCTAAAACCCAAATAATACCGGCATGTCTCACATTTCTTAATTGGAAAAGTCGGAAAAAGGCCTCATTTTGAATATTAAATGGAATATGCTGTTTATATGACCAACATCAAATTCAGAATATTGTCATATTTAGAACAACAGTAGAATATAAGCATGCATGCAACACAGACAATGATGAAGGCCTGTGGCACAAAGCAGACTTTTGACACCTGGGCAATACTTGGTCTTTTTGTCGGATTTGTTGACAATAAGAATACTTTTAAAATATTCAAGATTAAATGATTAGTTATATTAGTTGATTCATTTTTATAAGAGGAACCTTCTTCTTTTTGTCATACCTAGCAACAAATGGGACAGCACCCCGCTGATACTGATAGGAGAGAAGAGTAGATTGCTGGAGGGTTGTGATTCTCTGAGGTAAGAATACAGCTTCATTGAAAACTCTGTGATGGACTCCTGCAAAATGGGTTCCCCTGTGCGACTGTTCTCATCCTGGCAGGGCTCCCATGCTGCGGTGAAGCCAAGGCACGAGTGAGGGACAGGAGTAGGAGCAACTGAAAGAGAGTTAAGCAGACAGTTAAAAATGTACAAAAATGCTGTATCCACATTTCCTTATTGAAAAAATACCTAATTGTACATATAGTTTGCAGTAACATAAGTAGAACAGAAAAGGTTGCTGAACCTACCTTGAACAATGATATATACTGAGCTCAGTGTTTGCCCCCCAGCAGATTCACACAAGTAATTTCCAGAATCCTCCATGACAATGTTTTTGATCGTGATGGTCTGATCATGGTCGAGTGGATAAAGCAGGTTCACTCTGTTATCACTTGACTCGTCTTCAGTGTCCAGCTGTGTCCTCGTGCCATTATTGTCCACTTTGAACCAAAGTGCATTGGCTGTGACTTGGCTGGAAGTTGGGAAATGGCACTGGAGTTGAGCTGTGGAGCCTTGGGTCACCTTCATGGTATAGATCATGTGTACTGCAGAAAAAGGCACAAACACTTCAAACTCTTCTAGATACAAGCTTTTTGTTAAATGTTATACTCATTCTACCAAAATTCAAAATGCTCCAAATGTGTGTGATAAAAGGGAAATGCATCTATGTTCCTCACCAACTTCAATGGTGTATGTACTTGACATCTCCAGATTGTTCTCCTCTATCGTACAACTGTACTCGCCCTGGCTGGCGGCAGTAACAGGGGATACAGAGAGAACCATGCCACCCTTTTTCATTCTTGGCGAGTCAGGCGACTGAGCGCTGAGACTTAGATCTTCACCTGTATTCCAAAAAAAATCAAATTGAAAATATGTATAACTGTGTACATTTACAATACAGTGAGTACAGTGGTTGTAGTTACATAAATGTTATAAGACCATTGAATTTCCAGGTGATGGTCCCTCCAGTGTAGACATCTTGAAATGAGAGACAGGGCAGCTCCAGATTAGAACCAGGTATCACCTCGAAATGTCTGCATGAAGAAAGCTAAACAGAAACACAGAGTTATATGTTTGACGTAAAGCTGCAAGGAGGATGATGTTTCAGCTCTTTGGTCATGTAGTATAACAATAAAGATATTTGGAAACATTCGGCCTGAGCTATGAAGAGCTCATGCTACATTTCTTGGGTAAGTTTACCTCGAAAACGAGCAGCAGCAAGAGGCAGAGTACGGCCTGTAGTTTCATCTAAAGCAGAACAAGGAGTAAAAGGAGCATTTGGCAAGTTGATAGTTGTTTTGCAAGTGAGGATTTCCAAATGAATATGGCATCGAGCCGGCAAAAAGATCAATAATGTGGTGCAATCTGTGAACCACAGTGATGAATCCTTCTTTTAAAACTATGATCATTTAGCTACAGCTTCCATTTGCAAAAAAACACATCCTTGTCAGAGATTAATTATATAAAAGATTTCAGAGGATAAAGTATAGTTTTATATAACAGTAATGCATAGTAATCTGTATATTTCTGCTTTGGTTCAGAGATTAATCAAAAAAGTAGAGACATTAAATACCTCACACCTCTTGGATTTCCAAATGTATCCAAATTCAGTCACCAGTTTTTAGCAGTAATATTTCTGCCACACCCGCTCACCACCTCTGACTGTCTGCTCCTCTAAACTGCAGCCAGCAACCACTAATCAGTGATTGTTGGTTTAGAGATGTTTGTTTGCATAATGCAGGTCGTCTGACTTGCTGGAAATCACATGATTTCACATGTTGGCAACAGACACTAGTGGGATGATTCAAGGTCCTGTTTTTATTTTGCCTTATTGCATTCATTTTTACATTGCAAAGATATAGTATTTTATCACAGCATGATATCAGTGCTTAAGCATAGGTTGTTTTTTTGTTATCATCAACTGTAACTGCTTAATCTTGGCAAGTGAAACATAGCAATGAGTAGTTGGGGGTGGATAAGCAGTTTGACTTTGGCTCATCTTCAGTTTGCCTATTAAAATGTTTTTGCCTGAAGTGTTTACATGATTTAATTTTGCCGAAGGTTGCACTGGGTGATAAACACAGACACAAGCGGAGGGCAAACACAGGCCGAGTTTGTGCTAATTGGCAGAAAACAGGGTTGTCACATTTGTGGACAACAATCATAACATGTATCAGTGAAGTACCAAAGTGATGGAGGCAGTGTTTTAATGGAGTCATTAACTTAATTAGTATATTAAGAACAGTTTTTTATTTATATGTGTCTAAGTATCGACCTATCATGATCCTCAGCTGGAGGTACTTTTCCCAATTTGATTTACCACTTAGTGAAGTTATTAAAGTGGAAATAGACAACTTTTTGCTTTATCTTATGAAGTAAATGTCGATTGCACAATGTAATGGCTATTTGATAATGACACCATCGGCATTTAGATTGGTTCCCTATAAGCCTCACTTTTACTGTGCAATTCAGTCTGTCACTGGGTATGATCTCCTGAGAAAATAAAGGCTCCATATAATACGGCACAGAGGAAGTGCGTCAACCACTGCTCAACCAAAGCAGAAAGAGGGTAATGCTTTTGTTTTAGCTACCCCTGAACATAAGAGTATAGTTACTGTAAGTTTTTTATTTTAGTTACAAGTCCCCAGTAGCAGAAATGGCAGATGGTGGAACAACCAAAGCAACTGTGGAAACTTTACTCATTTAGACAGAGAGTCCAGTTGCTAAAATACATAGTACTCTTAATATCACATCATGAAGAATGTAAAACTAATATATTGTATTGTCTACTATTCTTTCCATCCATAATTTCCATAAATCATATTTGGTGTTTTATTTTAAGATGTCATTGTGGTCATTAGGATTAGGGTTACAATAGAGTAATGGACTGTAACTGGTGTTTTTAAAGGGCTTTCTGCATGGATTAAAAATCCCTAATAATTTAGAAAACCACATTGCCACTTAATTTATATCTTAGTTTTCCAATTACGGTGCCAATTCAGGGCTTAACCCCAAATGGGGGTTTTTAAAATAGGCTTATTAATTTGAATTTGATTGTAATATATTAAAGGGTTTTAAATAGTGTTTAAATAGCTGTTAATAAACACATTAAAAATTACCAAATAACATAACAGCCATCTCTGAATTCTATCCAATCTAAAGAATAAATTAGGAGATGACATTCACGTCATTTGGTCAAAACAAGGTGGTTTTACCCTCAAGACTGTTTAAACTAAGCAAATAATTTTAAAACCTTCACACTCTATATATTAACAAAAGACTATCCCATTAAAAAGTAATTTAAAATACAATCATTTCCTCTTAACTAATGGTTAAATCAATAGCAATATTATTGAGACATCATACATCAACAGCTGATAGAGTCAATGCTCAAGAACATTTAACAGTGGCATTACAATGGGTGATTTAAGGTGAAGTGGGACACGTTTATTGGTACAGTGGAACATTGTTTAAGCATTAAAACTTATCATGCATTTAAGCATGACAATATTTCCTTAAATATCTCTGTTTAATAAAACTGCATCCATACATTATTCATAGTATTCACAGTATTCAGTGGTCAAATACACTGCTACTGAATAGAATCAGCTGGAGGAATTTGGTTTAATAAACTAAGTTTGCTAAACTTCTGTTTACTGTCCAGCAAATATTCAGAATTAACACAATAACAGTTATTGTGTTTAACTATCAACACTGTTAATTATCCAGAAGCCTAAGTGTCCCACTCCAACGCAGCTGAAACAGTCAGCTGATCAATTGATTAGACAACTGAAAAAAAAATAACAGCAGCTACTTTGAATGTCATTTTAGTCATTTTTTCCATGTACAAAATAATAAACATTTCAAGATTCCAGCTTCTCACAGGTGAACTTCTGCTGCTTTTCCTTTTTTATTATTTTAATTAATTTCAAAAAATGAGGTTTGGACTATTGTTTGGAAAGAGAGAATTGTGAAGGTGTCACTATTCACTATCCGAATTGAACTGAACTGAACTGAGTTGATTGATCGAGGAAATAACTGATTAGCAAAACCAGTCAATAAGTTGCAGTCCTATAGGCATAAAATAAGTTCAAAATTCGCTCCACCTCAACTACAACAGCCAAATGTTGCTTAGCTACACATTTACACATGCTAATCTACTTTTAATGCTTTAAATATATTTTTCTGTTTATACATACATACCTTTACTTTAGTAACATTTTCAATGCGGGAGTTTAACTTGTAATAGAGCATTTTTTACAGTGTAGTTATTGCTCTTCCACTGATCCTGTGAGATTAAATGTCGATCGACACACCGACACTCGATTCAGTGCACTGACTCCCGAGGAGACCTTTGGGCGTAATCAGACGTGTGCAATCGAGCGCCGGGTGTTGAACAAAAAAAAAAGCAAGAGACTCAAAACTTTTACAAAATCTTTTTTCGTACTAAAGAACAAAACAACGAGCAGTAAGAAGACATCATAGAGAGTTTCCACAGAGTGTACAAGTATGTGACCTGTGTGCTGGCAGCGTGGAGTCGAGCTGAGCCTCCTCGGAGAAAAGATTAACTTCAGACAGTAAGTTTTCCTCCTGGTCATCTGATCGAGTAGCGGAAAGAGCACAAACAATGGCAGGGACCAACAACACAACCAGTGAGCTCATGGTTCACTTTAGTTCACTGTGGTCCAGTCAGCTGAAATATGTAACGTTAGGCCGTGCCAAGGCAGTACTGTAACAGTTTTCTTACTTCATGCTCATATTTGCGGTTTTAGCTTCGTACACGGTGGTAAAGTTTATTGTATAGCGAGATGGTATGGAGCCGCTGAGTCTTTTGTGTGCGTAGAGGCACGCGCACGCGTTCCTCAACTGTTTCAAGAGAAATACTCAAGTTGACAGAGGCAGAAATTACACCCTAAATGTAAATACAAGTCCCTACAGTAAACTTAATAGCTTCTTAACTCCACTGTTGTCCTGGCTGTGTAGACATATATAAAATGTTTCCCATTACAGTGAAGTCACTCATTCTTGGAAACTGGGACAAAACCCTTATTTTGGTGGGGAGGGGTGCTTATGAATGCTTATGAAAGCATTTACTCTAATGCTTTCATAAAGTTGCTCCCTCACAATTTCTGTTGATAAGTTGTCTTTGTGATAAACAAAATTATCCTATATGACAAAATTGTCACCTCGTATGGCAAAACTCAGTGTGAACCTTAATCAGGAAGTTGTTTTGGCTACCTATAGAAATGTGCAACCTTGAACTTCTCATATTAAATAAATACATTTGCATAAAAACAACACTAGATAAGTGTTCTAACGTTATCTTAGATGGCACAGAAATTTAGTCCCTAGAATAATGTAGAGACTTTATAACCTTTCAAACTTGTTTGGGGGTCTCTCGGGGTCCCACCCAATTGTGTAAAATCCTGTCTGACTATGTTTACATATATATATTTACACACACACACACACACACACACACACACACACACATATGAAAGGCCCATAAAATTGCTAGCGATTGCTTGTTATCCCAGATGACTTTGGCCAACAGCCAGTTTTCAGACGATAAACTGGATTTCATATTTTTTGTAATATTTGAATGTGTTGTTGGCAACACTGCTACAGTAATGCCTGCAGCAGAGATTTGGGGTTTTATTCGATTTTTAACACTTGGAGCTTTTCTGCATTTTACCATGAGGTGTGGACAGTTATCCAGTATCATATTTTGTGACTAGAATTTATAATAATTCTTAAACGTTTTAATATCCTCAATACATTTTCATATCATTTGAGAAACAGAGATTAATGATTCAATAAATGTGTTTTTTAAAAAACATTTTCCTTATTTTTACTTCATAAAGGCATCAAAATTGTGTGTCATTTATGGCACAAAAACCACATATTAAGAGTACCATAGGGAATTTTGATTAAAATAAACTCAGTTTATTTTAAACCAGGGGGGCATGTCAAATATTTTTCTAAGCATTGGGGAGTTTTTTTTATATTTTGGCTTAGGGGAGGGGCACACACATTTAAATGGTTGTATTTTGTGTGTATGTTTTACCGCAGACTTCTAAAGAAGACCTGCAGATTTGGAAGGCATGTTTTCTTTAAAAATTGACAAAATTACACCATTTATCATAGCCAGAAACTGGTAAAAACAGAAATTACTGTTCGATTTTCAAGTTACTGAAGTCCATGGACACATCTTGTATAATGAGTGCAGAAAAAAATATAACTAATCAGAAAAAAGAAATGCATGGAGTGCTGCAGGAGTCTTCAGAAAGTGTGAAAATGGTCAGCCTCTGGTGCTCTTCAATACAGGAATCTCAGTCTTGACATTTCAAAACAATCTGAGGCACTCAGAGGGACATTTATAAAAAGCCTTCATTAACTGGGCTACAAAGTCATTTAAAAACGCCTACGTGTTTCAGCCATACAGGCCTTCACCAGGGCAGTTGAACTGTGCTGATGAAGGCCTGTATGGCAGACGTGGACAATTCAGCATTGATTCACAAATGTCAATAATCTATCTAAATGTTTATTGATAAGGTGATGTTGATGGAACAAAAGAGACAAAAGTCTGTCTCTGTCTTTCTGTCACAGTCTCTGTGGCAAACAAATGTTTATGATACTTACACGTGTTGTTCAACCAGATAATCTTCACAAACGAACGCCACTCTCATGATTATTGAAGCCTAAATGCAATAGCCAG